ATTGGGTCAATGATACGTCCATATGGAAACATCCATATGAAAAAGACCCTTACAAATCAATAAGTAAATGATAAATAACCCAATAAAAAATGGTCAAAGATATTAATAATCTCCACTAAATGGTATTCGATGTACAGTAAGCATATGAAAGGGTACATCACATCATTACTCATGAAGGAACTGAAAATTAAAATAACAGAATAGCGCTGTACATCTTCCCAGAAGGACAAAAATTAACAAGCCTGACAAGATAAAGGCAAAAATAGGAAGTAATTAAAATCATTTTATATTGCTCACAGGAGACTGAGTTGGTCTCTATTATCTATTCTGGAAAAATATTTGTCAGCGTTTCTGACAAGCAAACGTGTCTACCTTATAAACTGTCGATTCTGCTCCTAATTATATGCCTGAAATGAATGGATGCATAAGCTCACCAAAATACATACACAAAAATATTCATAGAGCTTATATTCATAATACCCAAACAAACTAAAAGTCTCTGAAAAGTAACCAAGCGTATGCAATTTAAATTGTTAGCATTTCCTGAAATTGTCTTGTAAGCATTCTTAAAGCACAAATGAACAACTTCAGCCCTAAATTGTCACCATTTCTTCCGGGCCACTAGGAGTCAATCAAATATTTTATCATGTGTATATTATTTTTAATCAATAAAGAAATCTAAGAATTCAAAGTACAAACTTTAAAGTACTGACTTGACAAGTACAAACTTTAAAGTGGGTGCCTGGGTGGCTCAGTCAGCTAAGCATCTGACTTCGGCTCAGGTCATGATCTCACAGTTTATGAGTCGGAGCCCCATATCGGGCTCTCTGCAGTCAGTGTGGAGCCCACTTCAGATCACGTCTCCTTCTCTCTCTGCCCCTCCCTGGCTCCTGCTTTCTCTGTCTCAAAAATAAATAAACACACACACACACACACACACACACACACACAAACCCTAAAGTATTGACTTCGTAGCATAATTAATGAAAATATAATAAATTCACATACAAATTCATAAATTCAAATATACTGTGGTTTGTTCATCTTCAGTTTGTCACTTCTTTACATAAGATGGGCTTTTTTTTTTTATCAAGCACATAAATAAAAATATTTTAAGGTGGCATTTGAATCAATCATGCTGGAAAGTCCAAACACGATGTGTAAACTACCAACCTGCCCTGTTATCAGAATAGAACAGAAGGAAACCGGCGAGGATACTTTCTGAGTTTACGAAAGTAGTTTGGAAGGTCTGGTTCTATTCCTTCTGCACGGAGGAGGCCATTCTTCCAGGGTTGTGTTCACGGGGCCTGAAGGACAGAATATGGGAGCAAGTGGAAACGCGGTGCCGGCTACTGGAGCCGGGGGGTGGGGGTGGGGGGCTGCTGTGGGCTGAGGGAGGCCCTGAACATCTCACTTTGTTTCTGGTGGCAGGATTAATGGGATTAAGTGTAAAGGCACCTCTGGTCTCTTCTATTAGACTGAGAGCAGGGGTGATGTCTGACTCCTCTCTGCTTCCCACAACGATGGAGTTTTGGAGTGGTGGCGGGTCCGGAGCCCACGGCCAAGAAAGAATTCTTGTAGACGTCTTTGGTGCCAAGAGGTGATTTCATTAAAGCACGGGGACAGGACAGAAAGAGCTGCGCTGGGGTCAGAAGGAGTGACTGATTAGGGAGGCCCCCCGAGGGACTGCGATGTGCTACAGAGGACTCCTAAAATACCAGAGGCCTTTCTGTTATCAAGCTAAGCTTGTCCCTTAGGACAGGAGGGGGTTCCTGGAGAAATGCTCTACTCCGGATTTGCCTCAACTATTTGCCAACAGGCTGCAGGTTACCAAAAAATGGAATTTTACCTGTCATTTCCCTCTTGCCTCTGTTCTCCGCAGCGCTGTGGAGGGAGGGTGACATTAGGGCTCCAGGAGAATGAGTGATTTCCTGAGAAATTGGAACTGAAGGAGAGGCTCACATGCAGGGGCTCCCGTGTAGGAACAGGTCTGGTCTCAGGTTACCTGCCTCAGGTCACTATGGTGCACCTGCCGAGAAGTTTCAGCCGCGCTAGTTAGTAAGGAAAGAGTTCCAAGCTAGATAATGAGAAAAGTAGGCAGGTGAACGGTGAGAAGAACATCACCGCTGGCCATTTGGGTTAAAGTGGGGGGTTGGGGGTGGGGGCTGAGAGTACACGTTGACGTTTCTGTTTGTATAAAGAAGTTCCAGATGGCTGCACCCCAAACTGGTGACCGTGCTTCTTTGTTATCGATGGGGGAGCTCGGCGGTCGAGGAGGACGGTGGGAGCAGGGCTCTTTCTTGTGTTCTTTATATAAGCAATTATTAAACCTTCGCAGCGACGGATAGAAACCGGAAATAAAACAAAGCTCTAGCTGCATTACCCAAAATGGCCACAAGGTGCCGACAGAGTCCAACGCTCTCCCCAGGAGCGGGCGGGGTGGTTGGGGGAGGGGTGGGAGGAGGAGACCTGGCCGGGAGGCCCTTCCCGCTTGCCGACCCCTCTGCCTGTTCCTGCGGTTCAGTCGCTGGAGTCGCTCTCTGTGTCACCCTTTGTCCCAAAGAGAAATAGCTTCGTTAACCGGGCTGACTTCTTACAAAAGTCGGGGAGGCAGGCAGGGAAGGGACTGAGGCGGGATGGAAGCTACACAAGTCCTCGTCAGTTACAGCGTCTCGCCCACAGGGTGTCACTCTCCGCGCCTACATTGGGCGGAAGGGGGACAGTGTAAAGAAACCACGTATTACGTCAATCATGAATATTGTCACAAAAGTCCCAACAGATGCAGAGTTGAACAAAACACAAGATCCTCGCACCTAAATTTAGAAGTGATGATCTGTAACATCATCCAATATCTAGTTGCTTACAAAGAAAACCCCTCAATTGCCTCAAATACTTTTTTACAATAATTTATTTTAACTGAAGTAGGATTCGATTGGTTGCTATGTCTCTCAAATTTATTTTAAAGCGTAACCCTTCACCAAATGTCCAAATTAGCCGAGTTCGCTCTCTGGAAAAGGGTTGAGAAACAATCTGGGTGATGGCAATTCTCACTGCTCATGGATTGTCATTGCTTGTAGACATTTTCTGCGAAAAGTGCTGGGGAGAAAAGTTATTTGATAAGAAGAAATACTGACGTTTTCATGTGAAAAGTTAACATCTTTCCCAAATGTCCATCGACTGATGAATGGATGAAGAGGGTATGATATATATACACAATGGAGTATTACTCCATCAAAAAGAATGAAAGCTTGCCATTTGCAATGACATGGATGGAGCTAGAGTGTGTTATGCTAAGTGAAATAAGTCAAAGAAAGACAAATATCCTATGTGTTCACTCACATGTGGAATTTAAGAAACAAAATAAATTAACATATGGAAAGCGGGGAAAAAAAGAAAAAAGAGGGAAACAAACCTTAAGAGACCCTTAAAGATCTAGAACAAACTGAGGGTGGGGGATGGGCTGGATGGGTGATGGGTATCAGGAGGGCACCTGTTGTGATGAGCACTGGGTACTGTATGCAATTGATGAGTCACTGAATCCTGCTCCTGAAACCAATGTTGCGCTGCATGTTAACTAACTAGAATTTAAATAAAAATCTGAGAAGAAAAAAAGTTAAATCCTTAAGTTTATAATTGAAACGCCTCTGAAAATTGTAGTTTTTTAACACAATAAAATTTGTTTTCTATATCCATAGATAAAATGGGAAAAGGTATCTTAACACTTTTATTATGCTCACTTAGGAACTAGAAGGAAAGAGAGAAGAAAAGAAGGTCTGAAGCTAAAAAATCTGACCTCAGGTGAGATCGAGGTCAGATTTCAGCACAGACTTTTCAACCCCTTTTTCATTTCAAGTTGACATTCACTAATATTTTCTCCTTCCCAAGTTAAGGAAGAAAGTGCCTAGAAGCGTGGATGTTGCAAAATAGCTTAAGAGAAAATGCCTCGGGGCGCCTGGGTGGCGCAGTCAGTCGGTTGGGCGTCCGACTTCAGCCAGGTCACGATCTCGCGGTCCGTGAGTTCGAGCCCCGCGTCGGGCTCTGGGCTGATGGCTCAGAGCCTGGAGCCTGTTTCCGATTCTGTGTCTCCCTCTCTCTCTGCCCCTCCCCCGTTCATGCTCTGTCTCTCTCTGTCCCAAAAATAAATAAACGTTGAAAAAAAAAAAAAAAGAGAAAATGCCTCCTCTAAGGGAGTATAATGTAATACTCTTTTCTTCGTGGTTAGTACTTTTGTTTCCTGTTTAAGAAGTCCTTCTCTATAGTGAGATCATATTTTCCTAGCTGATCTTCTAAAAGAAGATTTACACTTAGGGGGTCTTCCTACAATCACCCATAACCAACTGCACTCATCAATTTTTTTGAGCAGCCTATCGTTTCCTCACTAACGTGAAATTTCAACAAAAAATTAGACGCGATCCTTGGCTTTCTATCTAATTCAGTTGGTAAATGTGTTCATCTCTGTGCATTGCCACCCAGTATCAGGTCTTTTATCACTACATCAGGTTCTACCTCTCATCGAGAGCTTCTTGGGTTTGTTTCTGTTTTCTGATTTGTTCTTACCATTTTGCTCTTTAAATAAATGTTAGGATTAGCTTCCAAATTCCAAAACGGACATTAGGATTTTGACGGGAATTACCGTGAATACCAATTTTAGAAGACCTGACATCTTTAATATTTCGTGCCCATGAATGTATTATATCTTTTCATTTAATGCCTTTAAATAAGGGTCTGATATCATTGGATTTCTTCTTGACCCATTATATTTACAGCAGCTATTATATGGTTCTATTACATATATTTAGTAATGTGTGAAAAAGTTTGTGGTTACATAGAAATTCAATTAATTCGTGTAAATTGAGAAGTAAACCTTGGCCAAAGACCAAAATACACTCTTTTCCGCATATTGCTTTTCCATGACAGTGACGATGTTCTCGTTTTGCACGTCTCAGTCATATCCTAAGAGCAGAGGCAGAATCAGTTCAGTTATAGAAAATAGCTCGTAATCCCAAATCCACTGTTCTTCTGGTTCCACGGTGAGGCCATATGTATACTGTGTCACCTGTAGAGTTATGTGGCACCAAGACACCCTGAATAAAACAGTAAAGGAGAAGGAAAGAAACACCAGAGATTAGGTTAAATAGCCAACTACACACGTGAAATCTCACAGGAGGAAACCGGGTAGACAGCACAATTTTTTTTTTCAGCTCGGTTATCTGAAAACCGTTTCACCAAGCGACCCATTCGTAAGAATTATTAAAACTTTATTTGTGTACTTATGAATGTTGTAGTAACTTAGATCAGTGTAGTTTAACTTGTACTTGAAGGTTTCTGAGACTAAGTCGACTGGCTTTCATTGTATCTTTTTTATGACGGCCTTTTAAAGAACACTCCAACGTTCTCTGTTCCAGGTGCCTGCCTGTCCCTCCTAAAAACAGGGTGTGGGAGGGAAGAAGGAAAACAAAAACTTATACAAGATTGAGAAACAGAGGAATCCGAAAGCCCAAAGTCCTCAAGACTTCCCACATGTCTCTCTCATTCTCTTTTTTTAAAATTTTTTAAATGTTTATTTTTTGGAGAGAGAGAGAAACAGAGTGCAAGCAGGGGAGGGGCAGAGAGACAGGGAGGGAGACACAGAATCCAAAGCAGGCTCCAGGCTCTGAGCCGTCAGCACAGAGCCCAACGTGGGCCTCGAATCCACAAACCATGAGATCATGACCCGAGCCAAAGTCGGATGCTTAACCAACTGAGACACCCAGGTGCCCCCTTCCCATATGTCTCTTAAGCCAGTCCGTGAATCTAATTAAAATTGTTTTAACTTTATATCAGAAATGGCTCATTTTTTGTAAATCAATAAAATTTAACAGTGTGATCTCAGTCTCCGCTGGCAGACATATTCCTCCTTTGAGTACTAAAGCTTTTAAGAACAAAAAAACCGAAAATCCAATGAACGCAACAGAGAGAGCCCTGAAATGCAAAGATGGAGAGTGGGTGTTTTTTGAGCTGGTGATTAACCCTAAGAGCAGAGGGACTACCCCCTTTCTGCCTCTTTGTTCTTTGGCCAATGTGTTTTGGCAATGGCAGAAATTATGCCTATTTGTCACTCTTCGGTACCTATACATTATCCAGTTGAATGGGACTCCGATAACTTGCCAAACTCCTAGATGCCACTTTAACAGAGTCTCCCAGTAATTGGTAAGGCTGTGCTCATGAAGGATGTGGTGCCCATGAAGACTGGTGAGTCCCAAGCCATCTTCTCATTGCCTTACCCTTTTTCTAAAATGACCTGAATGCTGTGAGATAGAGGCACAAAGTATTCAGGAAGTTCATGGATAATCTTGCCAGCGACGGCATGAGAGAAGGTGAAACACACCAAATCTAGAGTAAGTGTCTGTGTCAGTGAAGTCCAATAGCTGCCTCATCCATGACAACATGGATCCAAGAAGAGCGGTCCCGGCATATGGGACACTTAGCAGCGCCAGGATCCAGGTCAACTCTGGTGAGCTAAGTCTATACCAAAGAGCTTGTGGGTAACCTCCAGCAGCATCACCCCGGCCACCTTGCTTGGGCAGTAGGAAGGGTGTTGAGGAAAAGAAACTTTGTGATGTGCACATGGTGGCTGTCGTATGCCTGAGTACCGATAGCCTCCTCGGAAGGACAGACCTGTTGGTTCGCATCCACAAGGGCCAATGTCATTCTTACACTCTGGGACCATTCTGAGTTCATCCATATCATTCGTCCCCCAAACTCGTCCACAAACCTCCACTTTTGTCCCCTCCAAACCCTTGCCCAGCCAGACACACATGCATCAGTTTAGCTCGATATCTTAGATCATTTCTCTTTCCAGCAAAACTAAACAATGAGATGCCATTCTCCTCTCTTTTCTGTTGTCTTTCATGGGTACTTTTGAGCGGGACGTTGTTATTACTCGTTCTAATACTGCCCTTTTGACTGGTGTCAGCAGTGGTATTAGCTCAAATATGTTGAAGGCTTACTATATGCAAGACATTGTTAACATAATAATTCACAAGGGGCACCTGGGTGGCTCAGTTGGTTAAGCGTCCGACTTTGGCTCGGGTCATGATCTCATGGTTTGTGGGTTCGAGCCCCGCGTCGGGCTCTGTGCTGACGACTCAGAGCCTGGAGCCTGCTTCAGATTCTGTGTCTCCACCTCTCGGCCTCTCCCCTGCTCATGCTCTGTGTCTCTCCGTCTCTCAATAATAAATAAATGGCAAAAAAAAAAAAAGGTTTTTTTTGAAGATATTAATTCACGAGAAGCACTACCAAATCCCCCTTTGGAAATGAGGAAGAAAGCGACAGAAATTAAAGTCATGTGTAAATGCAAATTTCAAGTGGCAGGGCCTAGTTTCAAACCTAGGTAGTGTTTCTCAATCAGGTGTTGATAGGAAAAGTCCTCATGCTATTAAAAAATAGCAAAAAGCATAACTATGTTTCAGAAGTAGAAACAATTGGGGTGTGAGCTACTTGCTCTCAAAATTATTTTCCTCCTTCAGCACTTGCTCAGGCCGAGCCTTGCGTGTATCACTTCCTCCTGCTCATCAAGTACCGATGTATACGTCATAGTTTTGTCGATCTGATGGTGTACAAGTAATAGCAGGAGAACAAACAACGTGTTCTTCTGGTGTCCCGATGTCAAATAAATAGTATCGTTTCCACAGTGAGGGTGAAGCGATACATTTGCAAAGACTGGAGAAAATACTAGTAATGTGCAAAACAAATGCTTCAGGTATGCCAAACAGTGTTCTTAAAATTCAAAAATTCCGTTCTAGACTTATGCAGACTCTAAACAGGGTTGCATATCCAACATTTGGGGACAATATCAGGACAAGTGGTTCTTCGAAATTAAAGCTTAGCATAAGTCGTTCAAATCAATAGTTTGGAAATATGGTTATTATGAACTGGGTATTTGCCATCTGTCATCAAAACTTGAAAATAAAATTGACAAAAGTTATAATGGGATGAGCTTTAACATACCAAAGATAGAGTTGAAGAGCAGATATCCGCATAGGTATCTAATTATAGGGTCATGCATCTTTCAATGGACTTTGTCAGCGTGTCTCTATTAACCCCCTGGGGAATGGGTGTCTTGATTTCCACAACCGATGTAGATTAGCTTACAAAGAAATATGTGCACGGTAGAAACATGAAATATCATTTGATATAGTATAGCTTGAAAAAAGATTTCTTACAAACAGCCGGTTCATCTAACACAATGTTCAAGGCATCATTGTGGTTTATGATCTCTGGGGAAGATGGGCCAAATAGCTTTAAGTATTTGAGCAACAAATGTGTGTATTTTGGGATAAGATATAACACCATGTACAATGTACACTTTTGTAAATGACATACTATATTAGGTTAGCTTTGAACCAATTCTTCTGAAGCTGGTTAGAAGTAGGTTAAAGTGATAACAGTTTAGGGGAGCCTGAGTGGCTCCCTCAGTTAAGCGTGTGACTTTGGCTCCAGTCACAACTCAAGCCCCGCAACAGGCTCTGTGGTGACAGCTCGGAGCCTGGAACCTGCTTCGGATTCTGTGTCTCCCTCTCTCCCTGCCCCTCTCCCGCTTGTGCTCAGTCTCTCTCAAAAATAAATAAACATAAATAAATAAATACACAAATACATATAAGTACATAAATAAAGTGTAACAGTTTTTCAAGCAAAAGATTAAACTCTTGCCTTATTTATAAGGGGGCCCCATCCAGGTGCAAATAACTCCACAGATGAAAATTTGATTTATTTTCCTGATTTGTGTATGGCTTAAGCAGTTTAATTTTCTGAGTAATAGGGTAAATTGGCTGGTTATCTTTTCAACTTTGTTGTTTCCCAAAAAAACTTAGTTTTCACAAAGTTTCATCTGGGAATGGACTATTGCCTACGACTCATCCTCTGTCCCAATCCCTCTGCTTTTTCCACGAATTCGGGCTTTGTATTCTCATTTCTATACCCTATAGCACAAACAACAAGAACAAAAAGTATTTAGCTTGAACATTATCATCTGATTATTTGGATTAATGGAGAGGATCAGGGGGCTCATATGACAGAAGAAGTGACAAAAATTATGTTGTTTCCAGGTACTCGGTTATCATTAGTGTGGGGCGGAGATGAAGGAAAGAACTTTCTCTTTTCTTCCTTCTTTATTTTTCCTGTCTTGACTGCACATTTTCTGTGGGGAAACATACAGCAAACCACTAGTAGCAATTCACTAACTATACTATACGGAGGCAGTTCCCAAATGCTGGACAAGGAAAGGGAATTTTGGAGAGCAGGCCAGATTGACGTGGGCACTGAACCAGGAGTAGGATTCGAGTCAACAAAGGAGAAGCCTATATTTGACGTTGGAACTAACAAAACATTGTTTTAGACATTATCGCTGTGTTAAATTTAGATCCGTTTTAGATAAATTGGGTAATTTATTTATATCAATTAAATGCATTTAAAATTACTACCTAAACCCCAAACCAGCCGGACTGGAGGCTTCCAAATGCTTTACAGATCATGGCTGTTTAGCTAAGAGACACAAGATATTGAAGAATTATAATCTAGAGACACATTGTTGGCTGCCTGGTTCTTATTTGTGGCAACCTAACCGACGCGGAGCGTGCTTTTTCCTTACTGGTTCCCAACAATGTCAAACAGCAGCTTTAAGCGCCAACCAAAGGAACTTGAAAAGAAAAACTGATTCTCGTTTTACAGGAGTCTGGGATGGATGCTATCAAGCTTCTTTGCCTTCACCGAACCCCCAAATAGCCCTGTCTCGTCATGGTGACATTTTCCATTATATGGGTATATGGCAGAAGGAAACCGGCAGCCTAATTGGAAATACAGCATTGGTACTTCTCAGCCTGAAAACATCTTCCAGATTCCTCTCTCCAACGAAAATTCCAAGAGGAAATACTACACCTCACTCCTGGCAAGTTTAGAAAGCTTAAGAGAATGAAAACAGGATAGACAGCCGGAGAATATTTACTCTAGGTGCCTGAGTGTGCTGGGCTGGGGGGGGGGGGGGGGGGGGGGGGGGGGGGTGGTCTCAGATGCCAGAACCAATCAGGGCGCAGAGAGGAAGGGCGGCAAATTCAAACTGTAGGCGCAACCCCCGAAACCTGGGCACGAGTCCAGCTCTGTTCTCAAGGGGTGACTGGGGAGTATTTGAATTTGCTTCCAGCTTATGTTTTCTCTTCCACCGTTTACTTAATTCTAAAGGTTATTCGAACTGGTGACAGAGCCCTTTTGAAAGTAGCTAGCTCCTAAGTGAGGGACAAGCTCAGAGCCTTTGTTACTTTGCACAGGAGCCCCAGAGCTTGGCTAAGACCCAGTATTAGTTTTGCCGCTTAGTTACTGTAATAGGAAAAGCCGGGGATTGTTCAGACTACTGTAATGAGTCACCGGATCAGCACAGAATAAGTGGCAGCTCTCTCTTTGAGAATATGGGTGGCTCTTAAAAGAGCCGTTAGGGTTCAGTTTGCAGCCAACTCACTGTTCACTTGGCGCTGGTGTACTTGGTGACGGCCTTGGTGCCCTCGGACACGGCGTGCTTGGCCAGCTCCCCGGGCAGCAGCAGGCGCACGGCCGTCTGGATCTCCCGGGACGTGATGGTCGAGCGCTTGTTGTAATGCGCCAGGCGCGACGCCTCGCCCGCGATGCGCTCGAAGATGTCGTTGACGAACGAGTTCATGATGCCCATGGCCTTGGACGAGATGCCGGTGTCGGGGTGCACCTGCTTCAGTACCTTGTACACGTAGATGGAATAGCTCTCTTTGCGGCTGCGCTTGCGCTTCTTGCCGTCCTTCTTCTGAGCCTTGGTCACCGCCTTCTTGGAGCCCTTCTTCGGGGCCGGGGCGGATTTGGCTGGTTCAGGCATAATTCAGAACAGCTCAAGACTCCTAAAGGAAAAAAACCAAAGAGGGAAAAAACAAAAGAGAAACTAGGAGAAGTGCGTAATGCGCCCCTTTTATATAGAACCACATATGCAAATAAGGCGTAAATTAGAGTGCTGTGTCTGATAGGTGGCCGCTCAGGGCAACGTCAGGAGTGAATTCTGCCCAATCGGAATACAAGGATCCCAAAGTTGCATTTCCATTGGTTAAGATGAAGCTGCAATGTTAACCAATGAAAACTTTTGTTTTTCAAGCCCAATAAGGGTTATAAAAACTGCTACCCCCGGTCGGTTTCGTTTTGGCAGTTTATCGCAGTGTAGTTTTTCTGAGTCGCAATGTCTGGACGCGGAAAGCAGGGCGGCAAGGCTCGCGCCAAGGCCAAGACGCGCTCGTCGCGGGCCGGGCTGCAGTTCCCGGTGGGCCGCGTGCACCGCCTGCTCCGCAAGGGCAACTACGCCGAGCGGGTTGGGGCCGGCGCGCCAGTGTACCTGGCGGCCGTGCTGGAGTACCTGACGGCCGAGATCCTGGAGCTGGCGGGCAACGCGGCCCGCGACAACAAGAAGACGCGCATCATCCCGCGCCACCTGCAGCTGGCCATCCGCAACGACGAGGAGCTCAACAAGCTGCTGGGCCGCGTCACCATCGCGCAGGGCGGCGTCCTGCCCAACATCCAGGCCGTGCTGCTGCCCAAGAAGACCGAGAGCCACCACAAGGCTAAGAGCAAGTAGTGGCCTATATGATAGCTTACAGTAGCTCGAGTAAGTCGAGTCCAAACCCAAAGGCTCTTTTCAGGGCCACCTATCTTTTCTGGAAAAGAACTTAACATTTCTTTGACACTAAGGAAGGAAAGTGAGATGTAGGGAAATTGGGTCACTCACTCTTCACGAGCCTCCGTCCTGGGTTGAAAGCAGGACACCGTAGATTAAACCCTAACGTGCAAAGCGGGGTAGATTTCAGCCCATGGCGGTGATTGGGGACAGACTTTTTCGGTTTCTTCATTGTTTACGTAGCTTTTCGGGTAATGAAATTTGGCGCAAAAAAAGTTGCCCTCCCTGACTTGGGCGGACGGCGCAGCGAGCAGCCGGCCACCGGCAAGCCGCACCGCTACCGGCCCGGCACGGTGGCCCTGCGTGAGATCCGCCGCTACCAGAAGGCCACCGAGCTGCTGATCCGCAAGCTGCCATTCCAGCGGCTGGTGCGCGAGATCGCGCAGGACTTCCAAGACCGACCTGCGCTTCCAGAGCCCGGCCGTGATGGCGCTGCAGGAGGCGTGCGAGGCCTACCTGGTGGGGCTCTTCGAGGACACCAACCTGTGTGCCATCCGCGCCAAGCGCGTCACCGTCATGCCCAAAGGACATGCAGTTCGCCTACAGGTGAACGGAGAGCTTCAGGGCCCGATTGTCGTGCGCCATCCCAAGGCTGGCCGCCACGTCCAGTCTTCCTAACAGTACCTAAGTTTTGAGACACTGCCCTCGCCAGTCCCCTCCGTGTTGGCAAATGAATGAAATACTGGGATTACGCTGGTAGGTAGGACACCGTTCTGGAGCCCGAGAAATGTTTCTCCCGTTTAGGAGGAGCCTAAAATCGTCAGTGCCCTTGGTTGCTTCCGGGTAGTTATTTCTGTCCCACTTTAAGTTAGTTCCCACAACTATTGCCATTGAAATGTAAAGTGTAGTTAATCGCACAGGCTGTTCCGCCTTACAGGCTTCAAGGTCCATGTAGAGTAAGGAAAATCCTATAAATAGAGGATTGTATGGTTTGACCAAGGAATGCTTCTGAATGGAGAGATGGAGTGTGCTGTGGCTCCCGACGACCCAGGTCTCTCCGCCCAGCTGACCGGTTAGGTGTGGAAGGAGGTTGATTGACGTGACTTACTTTTGTTGCTGTTGTCACCAAATAAGGAAAGTTCTGCCAATGGTTTTGATTGCCCAGGGCACAATCTTGCCTCCTAGTTTCTGTGCACTGGACCCCTGTCACGGATGTCATCTCAAAAACGGGGAGAGAAACGTTCTTCACTTTTTTTCTTGAATGTCACGGACGACGTTGGCCGCCTGATGACATTTATGGAAATTCTGCTTAGGATAATATTTCAAGGGTATAAAATGCAAACATTGCAAAAAAATGTTTATTCCACTTCTTATCCAAATTTCAAAAAATAATAAATTTGGTAGGAGGGATCAGTGTGTTTATATAGTTAGCACATTCCATAATGCAGTCTTTTGGAGACATCTGTGATTTCCAGTGGGTGACAAAGTCACAGGTATGGAAATTGATGGCCCAATATCGTCATAAAGGGAAATGCTAAAGTTTAGTCAGAGGCGAAGTGTATTTTTCCCCATCCCAACTCACAGGCTTCCCCCCCTTATCAGCACCACCACCCCATCCACAGGCTCCTGATTTTTTTTTTCCTTG